CCCCAAAACCCCAAAACCCCAAAACCCCAAAACCCCATCACGAAAGCTCTAAATTGGATATATCTATTTTCAATATGATAGACTGAACTTGAGTGTTCAAATTGTGACCTGGAAATTTTCGAAATCAACTTTACCAAATTTATAGATCTTTGTGAAGACTGAAGACTCTGATCACACCATCTCCTCCGCCCATTGCGAATGAATCTCCATCCTGTGAAAAGTCCACTGTGAAGCATGCTCTAGACAAGTCCTTAATCTGTGCGATTGGCTTGAAGTAATCGAATGTGTCAAAGAGTTTTACTTCGTTCGAAACTGCCCCACCGGCAATGAGAATATTTCCATGGCCCTTTCTGAATTGCATTGAATATACAAAGCATGGCTCTTGAGATGGGAGTGCTTCGTCCCAAGGAACGGCACCTACATAATCTCCAGTGTCGCATTTCCAAATTTCAATCTGGTTATCTTTTCTGTAGGATCCGGTGACAATATAACCTTCACGAATGTCGATGGATTCTCCGCAGATTTTAGGTCCGTAGATACTTCTGATTGAACCCCCTTCACGCAAATCCCATATCTGAATAGTGTTGTCCCAACCTCCTGAGAGTAAAATATTTTCGTTCTCTTTGTCGAATTTGCAGCAGAAGACCCTGTTAGAGTGACCTGGTTTTCCTGAGACTGATCCCTTGAGCTCTGAAACTAGTTTTCTAGTGGCTTCATCATAGACTCTGACAACTGTGTCTGTACCGGCTGCTGCAAACTGGCATCCATCTGGCTTGTAATCAACTCCGAGCAGTTGGTTGAACTCGTCATAAATTGTGTGAAGAAGCTTGCCGCTCGTTGTGTGCCAATGCTGCAGAGCTCCGTTGGCGCTGATAGAGATCAGAACATTCTTGGTAATGCTTGGTGCTGCCGGAGGTCTCCACTTGATGTTGGTGATTGGTGATGGGTCCTCCATGTCTTTGTTAATAACAAAGGCTTCTTTCTCAGTCATTGTGTTGTAAATCCTGATGGTTCCATCATTATGCCCAGCAGCAATATACTTATCATAGTAATCATATTTAACACAGAAGGTCTGTCTATCAGTGCTTCCAAGCTTGGCTTTATCAGCTATTTTATGTGAAGAATTTTTAGCATTCTCAAACGTATGGTAATCAGAGACAGGAATCAGAATTTCTTCTTCCTCCTCCGCAAGTTGCATCATCATCTTGGCTAAGTTTTATTTTGGAAAATCTATTATAAAATATTAAGGATTTACACTTAAATGGGGTTTTGGGGTTTTGGGGTTTTGGGGTTTTGGGGTTTTGGGG